ACAACAATACCAGGCAGGAAGGCGCTGACGAAGTCGATTCAGGTGCTGTTGACGGTCAATGTGCTTGTGTACTCGATTTCCATCGGCGTCGGTACTGCGTGCTGCATTCGTGTCGGCAATGCACTCGGTGCGAACGCACCAGCCCATGCGCTGCTTGTCGCACAGGCATCCCTGGCAACCACCGGCGCGATCGCGGTGGTCGTGGCTAGCGCCTTTGCGGGGAGCCACAAATACGTTCCTGGCCTTTTCCTCAGCGACGCAGACTCGCCAGAGTAGGCATGCATGCATGGGACTGTCATGTTTGACGACATTGTCGGTGTAGAACTCAACATGCCATCGCGACCGCATTCGAGCGAGTCGTGGGCATTTTTGCCATCTTTATCGCCATGGATGCCATGAATTCGACGTGCCAAAGCATCTTGCGAGGCATGGGCCAGCTCACAATCGGTACACCCCACCCAACCACTCGCACGATATGGTTGACCTGTGCGTGCTTGCAGGCGCGATTGTGAATGCGGCTGCGTTTTATGCCGTGGGGCTGCCCCTTGTGGGCTTGTTTGCTTTTCAGTTCAAGTGGGGCCTGCAAGGCACTTGGATGGGACTCACCATCGGCCTCACGCTTGGCGTTGGCGTCTACCTTGTCATCATTTACCGAACGGACTGGCGCGCTCGTGCGAAGGAAGCCGTTGTGCGCAACGAAGACGACAAGGACGATATGGTACAAGGCGTCGTGGCTCTCGATGCCCATGGCGTCGTGTAGTCAGGAAGTTCCCACGATGTGAAGAGGGCCTTGCCCTGTGATTGAAAGCACGAAGTTGCTACAAACACATCGCAATCGTTCGCACACGTTGATCCATCTTTCTGTCGAACACTTGAAAAGATTTTGGCAGGAGGCGTCGGGAGACATGCTGCCCGTTCAAGACCGACATGACCATTCCTCAGCTTGCCGGAAAGACAGTGTGGACCTGGTTCCGCCAGTGGTGCTACCTCTCTCGTGGTTTCGAGGCGGAAATCGGCTGTGTGTTGCGGCGCCGCTCTAGTCCTTCCCAAGATGATCGCATACGCACGTGAATTAGAGCGCATAGAGCGTTTGCTTTCTAATACGGCGGGGGAGGCACGCCATGGTGGCTCGTCGGCGTGTGTTGGATGGTCCACAGACTTTGACTGCGTTCGAGCTTGCGAAGACGCTGCACGTCTGCTTCGACCACGTCCTTGGACGTATGAAGGAGCCACACGCTGCCGGGTTTAGTAAAGACGTCAACGGTGCGCACCAAGGTGGAGCCGACGCCGACGCTCCAGTACGAGCAATGGTACGACGGCAGGGTCGTGACAGCTTCGATGCCTGGGCAAGCTGTTATCACGCCTTCGTCGTACGATACCAACGGCACTTCGCAGCCGTGGGCGAGAAGCTTGCCAGGGAATGGAGGGACCGACCCAAACGCGATCGGGTCAAAGTAGCTGTCGACTGTCGCTCGCACTTGGTTGTACCCGAGGCACCGATCGACGGTCGGGAGAAAGTACCCGCCATTTCCGTGACACCGCGCGCCGACTTCGACGAGGCACGGGGCGTCTTCATGGGGCAACCACATGACTTCGGCATGCGCCGGGCCGTGGCGAATGTGCAGCGCATCGAGAACCTTAAGAATGTACGCCATGATCGCCATGTGCTTGGGGGACGTCGCTTCCACGAGTCGAACGGCAAAGTACACGAACGGCGCGTCGTTCGCGGGCCCCTTTTCATACTCCCACATGGCCACGACCTTGTGGACACCGTGGCGACTGACTGTGTCCACGACAAACTCGGTCCCGACCAAGTACTCTTGGATCAGAGTCGCTGTGTTGGTCATCCCGAGCTGGTTCACGTGCCCTTGAATGTGATGAAATGCATCGTGAACCTGCGCCATCGAGCGGCACAGAAAGACGTCGTCGCCGCCGGCGCTTTCGACGGGTTTCACAATCACCTGTCGACCGGTGCATCAGTCGACGGACTTGGGGAGAATGGCGTACCTGGAATGGAGACGGTTTGAGGTCATGCTCAATAAAGTCGACAATCGCGTTCCAGCATGTGGCTGCGCATTGCTTGACGGCGCGAAGATTTGCTTTGCGAATGCACTCGCCCATCACGTACTTGTTCCGTCGGGCGGCGGCGCCAGACGCACCATTCGTGGCCAGCCCCAGTCGGTCCGACAAATGATCTGCCACCGTCACACCCGTTTCACAGCCAGCGAGGACCCCAGCAACCACGTGGCGCTTCAGGGCACTCAAGGTACTCTCCATATCTAGTCAAGACGGGGTATCACGCACACGGCAAGGTCTGTACAAGGTGTGAACCTCGGTGATATAGCTCGGCGACGGCGTGCGCAGCAACGTCAGCTGGCATGTTGGCAATGCATGCCGGCTTGTCGGCGTCCGAGCTGTGGAGAATGATCAGTTGAAAGCCACGGCGGAGGACATCGCGGGCCACGTGCAACCCCGTCGAGACCGGGTCGACAACGACGACCGCGGGCTTGGCGACGATGCACATGCGTGCTGAGCGCGGCAAATTCGGGACTGAGGCACTCGCCGCTTTACGTCCGAAGTCGAACGTGCCATCATCGTGCCTGACGTGTTGTGATGCTGTAGTCGCTTGCCTTCATGGGGATGTTGAAGGGGTGCCACCGGAGGTTGGGGAAACGTCCCCTGAAAATGCAACGTGGGAAAGCCGACTGCTCCCGTGGCCAATCCACTATCGCAAAGAATTGAGGAGAATTCCTTATTTTATACTATTAATTGTAGGAATTTTGAGGAAAAAGTCTGGTGAAATATCGCAGCGTTGTTGAAGTTGTTGGACAGAGAGGGAATTACTACAAAGATTCCACAATAAGATGTGATTTGATTGATGGAAAATCGGGTTAAACCAACAAAAGATGTGGGTCACACATTGGCGACGATGCATGGGAGTTGGTTGCCATGCTTGACCAGGACGACGATACCCTTACACGGGAATTCGTATTGGAGTGTGCTGGGACCCAGCCTAGGCTCAAGGAAAGGCCGATGTGGTGGGCCTTGCCTGACCTCAAGGAAGTACTCTAGCGTGTTGTAATGTTGTGGCTCGGCCAGGAGCACCCACTCGCGCACGGCGTTGCTGGCGAACCAGCTTGTGCTTTGTCAAAGAGACGACTGGAATACGTGTAAGCATTCCCACTAGCCGACGTCCCTTGATGGTGCGCGAATTGCAGGCAGTGTACTCGGTGGAGTTTCCAACAGAAGTTGTCGCCGGTCCAACTTGATGTGCGTATTTGATTGGCTGGTATCCAATTGGATAACAGCCAATCAAATACGCACAAAGAATTTCGTGAAAATTCTTTCAGCCAATCAAAAGCGACGCGATTTATCCCTGGCATACAGACAGCACATTTTTGACTCCAAGTCGCAATCCGATGTTTCAACATCCCACGCGGACCTCACTCTCCAGGGGCTGCCGACGGCGCGAAGACTACACGACCTGGAAGCCACGACGACGGCATAGTAAAGTTATCTGCCGACGACAATGTCAGTTCCAGCACCTCCACTTCCGCTGGACCGTCTCGTATTTGTGTATCGAGCTGACGTCGGTGGACCTCTCGTAACTCGATGAGACACTACTTGTGCGCACGGTGCCCAAGCAACATCCTGTGTAATGCTGTAATTTTCACTCACGTGGTAATGCTGGGTATTTGTCGAGGCTGAAGTCACCATCCGGTCCTTCGCCGACCATCTGAACGAGGCTTCGCAGCAAAGAGAGTGGCCACGCTACCCAGTCGAGGCCAGGAGCTCACGCCAACGACGCACCATGAACCTGCTCAACCACGGCGTGTGCTGCGGTCGGCCGTGGCGTCAACTTAGCACGTCGTATGATTGTTACGGTGGCGCGTCCAGTAGAAGGCCAGGTGTAGCCTTATCCGAAACCGTTATCCGGATAGTGTCTATAAATACGTATACAAAAGCCAAGATATATTCGGGCAACCGGGAAAATGAGAACAATCGAGTTTGGACTCCATCTTCGATCCAACGGCCCTCTGAGGAAGAACGGCGACGGGGGACTCGCCAGCTGGACCTCACTCTCCCGTCGGCGCAAACTGCCCTTCCGCAAGCATATCTACCACCTGACCGCATCATACACAAGGTAAGACGGTCAAACGACGCGATAACATCGACGGCATCATCACTGGACTCGATAGGTTCAAATTGCCTCGTGCTGGGACGTGCCATGTCGGACGTAGGCCTGGTGAATGAAACATCCATCTTGGGCGGCAATAGCACAGGAAATGGCACGGTGTTTGGACTACCACTGAACTTGGTGGAAACCGAGCGCGGGTGGTGCCTGTTCGTGTCGTTCTTGGCAGCGCTCGTCGCGTCGGGGCTGACGTTGTGCAACATGTACCTGCATCTTCGTGCGTACACGCGACCAAATCTACAGCGATACATCCTTCGGATTCTGATCATCGTACCGTTCTACGCCATCGGGTCGTTCCTGTCGTTCTGGCTCGTGCACCAAGCTATCTACTTCAACATTCTTCGCGACATATACGAGGCGTTTGTCGTGTACAGCTTTCTCGAGCTCGTGCTGTCGTTTGCCGGCGGTGAATCCAACTGCGTGTCCAAGATGGTCGGCGAGAAGGAACTGGACCACCCCTTTCCGTGTAATTTCTGCTTCCCGCCCATGGCTCGGGATGGTCGCCTCCTCCGCGCGTGCAAGAAGGCGACGATTCAGTTTGTGTTTATCAAGCCAACCATTGCACTGCTGTCGCTGTTCATGCTGGCCATCGACGAGTACAACTCGACAGGGTACCAGTGGTTCCTCTGGGTCGTGTACAATGGGAGCTACTCGATTGCGCTGTACGGGCTTCTCGTGTTTTACTTGGCCACAAAGCACATCTTGGCGCCGTTTTCGCCCGTGCTCAAGTTCTTTGCCGTCAAGTCGGTCATCTTCATGACATTCTGGCAGTCGCTGATGATCGCGAGCTGCCCAGACATCACAGTCGAGCAAGCGTTCGCATGGAACGACTTTATCTTGTGCGTCGAGATGGTCCCGGTGGCCATTCTGTACTTGATCTCGTTCGGCGCGCGGCAGTTTCAACTGTCGCACCGACTGGCCTCCCACGACGTGGACAAGGAGGACGGCATGTCCCAGCGCAGCGCGATCGAGTGCGGCGAGGCGACGCCCCACAGCGGCGAGGTCGTGCGAAACATGAAGGAAGTGTTGAATGTCAAGGACATTGTTGCAGATGCGTTCCACAATTTCAGCTCGTCATACCAGGACTACATGCTCCAGCGCGCCGATGACGAAGACTTGGAGAAGGCCGAGCAACCAACGAGCTCGATCTTGGATGCTCCGACCCCCACGACGGACGACGGCTCGCCGCATCTGAAAACGAACCAGGTCAACGCGGATGCCGCCGCGCCGAAACCGGACCATCCCGGCGACCAACTCGACGACGGCATTGATGTCAGTGAGAACGAACACAATGACGAACAGACAGAAGACGGCGTTGACACCGACGGTGTAATTGTGTCGCCGTCCACAGTGGCAAAGCGCAAGTTGTCGCCCAAGATGGCGACATATTCCATGCGAAAAGCCAGCATAGGAAGCAACAGCAGCAGCAACAGCTCGCACTCGGCAGACACACGAACCAGGCGGAGCAGCGCCGAGGAAATGCCAGTCCGACAGGAAGCTATCGCGATTCCGTACTCGATGTCGGACGAGGAAGAGGACGAGACACTGCTCGTATCCCCGCGGAAGAACGACAAGACGAGCTTGCTCAAGTGAACGCGTTGGTTTGAGATAGTCCTTCAGTAATAGGTGGTAGGGTTTCGAGTCCGCTCGAGCTAATTCGGTTCGTGGGTCCACGAGTTGGCCTTGTGGAGCACCAACGAATGCCATGGTGGATGTTGTTGGCAGAGCAAACGGAGCAGTGTAGTACCAAGCGTTGTCCAAAAGAAGTACGTGGCAATGTGTGTGCGATGCTCCTGCTTTGGCGGGCCTGGTCTGTCAACACCGCGACAAACGCAAACGAACACCGGTTCATGCCCTCCACAAGAAGGGAGCGCTGCTCCACAGACCTGTCGCTATGCCACAAACACGGCGGCATGCATCTTCTCGAACAACTGCTTGCCAAAAGAAGTCGCCCGATTCTGAAGGGGATTTTTGGTTCCTGAAAAGATTGCATTGTACTGTGACCATGGGGAGTCTTGCGAAATCGTTACACTGAGCCCAATGCAGTAGTAGATCGGATACGGAGGTGGTGAGCCGAGCGCCAGTCATGTGCGATGGCGCGTATCACGGATGCAAGTCATGCATGTCGTCGAAGAACGCGCACGGCATGTTAACTCTTCACTCTGTTGCCCGAAGGCGGCGCAATCGTGCGCATGACGGGATGTTGCCGCCGAATAGTTAACCCATTCGTAATAAAAATTTTTTAGTGACCGTTAGACTACTACATAAGTTGAATTTATCTTGTGTACCAATTGGAAAATTTTTTGGAAATTCAAGATGCCATCATTCCGAGTGTTGCGAACTTCATCGAGAGCGCGACGGCAGCTGAGAGAGGTCGACGGATTCGCCGTCCAACGCAAGTGCAGCCGACGGTGGCGCGTGCGGCAACGGCTGGTATGTGCAGCGGTTAACGTGTGTTGGCTGTGCTCCACCTGGACTTGCTGTAGGGGAAGGCACATGCCCTACGCGTGGATGAGGAATGATGGTGATTGCTGCCGCGACGGAAAATCTCGTTCGATCGGCGGCGTTGCTACTGGCAATCGAGTTTCGACGCGTAGCTGAATGGGTGACATGGCTGAGGGCGGCACGGAGATGCCGACGAAGCACGGGGAGATGCTGATGTACCAACATCTCAAGAAAAACAAGTTCCACAAACGCCTGGCAAACGTATTGCTGCATCTGTGATAGGCCGTCCTGATCGTGTTGACGGGCAACGTCCTCTTCATTGCAACCCCAAGCTTGGCAGCGACGCTGGTGGGTTTGCAGCTACTGCTTTAGGTCTGTTGGACAGAAGCAAGGTCCCGCTGTGGAAGCGACCCTTTAGAACCACTTCTTGGCTGGAAGGATGCGAATCAGAGGATCTTGAGGGACCAAGGATCACGCGCCACCGCTGTGTCCTGGCTGGTTCATGGCGTGTGCCTTTCACATTGTGCGAAATCCTTCAGTGCACCTTCGAACTGTCGATAAAGCACTTGAACACACCGTTGTGAGCTCGCGCTACCTGCCATGTCTGTTCTTGAGAGATGGGGGAGACGGCACCTAAACGACAGTGAGAAAAGTCGACATTGCCTGCCATGCATGATGGCGCAAGTGTATAGGACTATGTGCAAGGCGACTAGTTCTCCACGGATGACATAGAAGGTGGGCCGTCGCATCGAGTACAGGTGCCGTCCACGCGATCGAATCGGTACATTCCGTGATGGCTTGGAAAAGGACACCATTGAAAGATGGTCTCGTTCGAGTTGAGGGAGGTGGCGTGCATGTTGCAAGATTTCATCGGTTCACGGCGCTAGGGTTGTCACACAAAGAGGTCGCATCTCTTATGTTAGGCTTATTTACGAGCGAGAGCGACGGCGGCGAGGAGGACTGCGCGAATCCGATCGACGGGAGCGGCGAGGAGGGCTGCGGGATCGGGATGGGGAGCGACGACGACGGCGGCGAGGTGGGCTTCGCGAGCGCGAGCGCGAACGAGAGCGAGAACGGCCTCGACTGCGGTCCTACGTCAGGTTGAGGATCAACTTGGCAATGATACCCCACAGTACCTCTCGAATGCGGACTCGGCGGCCCTTGAGCTCTTGATCGTCAAGTTTTCGAATTGCACGTTCCATTTGCTCCGCCGTTTGGAACGACGCAGTGCCATAACCACGACGGTCGACTTCGGAATGCGCCACGTCACCAGCTTCCCGCAAAAAATCTTTCAAGTCTTGCCAGCTTGTGTCCGAAGACAGGCCGCTCACAGAAATGCGATAAGACGTGCCATGTTGGCGCCTGGAACGCAGCGGTCAATGTACAGATTGATCAATTCATGAATCGTGAACATTCATACCTGCGGCGTTCGTCTTCCCGTTCGAGGTCACGGGGGTCTTCACCGCGGGGGCCACGCTTGGTAATTTCGACACGAAGCGTGTTGCCGTCCATCTCGGTTCCATTCATTTCCCGAACGGCATCTTGTGCATCGCGAAGGTCTTCATATTGCTACCGTTTCGAGATGAGCAAGGAACCGTTGTTCCTGGACTGGGGAATGGAGGGAAGGCGTACGACGAAGGCAAAAGCAGGCGGGCGCGACGGAGTCTTGATGCTAATCTCGAGAATCTTGCCGAACTTGTCAAACTTGTCGCGGATGTCGCTCTCCTTGACCTTGTCCGACAGGTTCCCGACAAAGACCTTGGCGCCGAGACTCATCTTGTTCGTTCCAAGCGTTCCCGTCCAGAAATGTTCAAATTCGATCCTGTTTGAGCCGCCCCTTTTGGCGTTTCAGGATTGGCCAAAAGAATTGTTAATTATGGCAAAAATTTCAAATAACGTAATTTCATTGGGCACTAATGCCAGCAAAATTCGAACTACACAATATGGAACGTTCAAAAAATCAAAGTTGATTGGATAATATTTCAACCAATCGCATGGCGCACCGTAAAGTCACCCGACGATGACTTCGGCAAATTCGTTTTCCACGTCCATGTACCATGGGGAGGCAGTCGACGCGACGGGCCACGTCTTCCGATGCGTCGGGTCCATCCAATCCACTGTGTTGAGGTCGATTCGCCGAAGCACGCTGTTCTCGGTCGATTGGAAGTATACGTGCAGATTTTGGTGGTCGCGGATCACGATCCATTCCGTGGCGAACGTAGGCGATATGATGGGTTGCACAACAGTATTGAGCAAATGCAACGCGCGAGTCACTCCGCTTTGGTCAACTGACGAAGCTGCGGTGAAACTTGTCTGGACGTCGTAAGTGTCTTGACTCGAAACGTGATTGTACTTTGCCAGACGAACAAAACGATCGGTGGATGACATCCCGGAGGGCACCCCCTCGTGCAGCGATGCTGCAGCTAAGCGATCAAGTTGAACGGACAGCGGGGGATCATTCGTCAATACTCCGAGTGGATTGTCGATCAGGTGCATCGTGCCGTCAAGGAATTCAATTGCCATTGACGCCCCAGATGCGTCATGTATTGCCACATGCAAAGGAAGGGTTCGAAGAGGTCCGAGGCCGGCATGCAGCGTCAGGCCAATCTGCGTCAGATCGATACCCGTGGGTTGAATCAAACGAATTCCACGCTTGACGTCTTCGATAGTGGCAAAGTTACCTGTGGAGCACGTTCATGCAGAGATGCTGGCAAAATGTTCTCACGCACCGAGGATGTAGCTGCACAGATTGCTCACAATTGGACGATTCGTCGAGTCCAATGGGTTAGTCGTGGGGTACACTGTGTCGGACATATAAAGCCAAGACGCTGACAGACCTATGAGCCCGTGAATGATCACGATGATGCCCGTCAATGTTTAATTACCCTTGGTGTTCAACCCATCCATCGAAAATGGAAGCGTTGCAACATTGAAAGAGAGGAAACCGAACTTGTTCGTCCATGAATGGCCGCTTTGTTCTTGGAAGGGACTTCCCACCGGCACTGTTGTCACGACAGTGTTCAAGTCGAGGCTAAAGTCCATGGTCCTCGCCGATATCACGTTCGTCGCCGAAGCGTTCAAGAGAAAGTCACTGCATCCTGAAGCCAAGCTCCACAGACCCAGCATGATCAACCATCGCGCCAGCATCGCCATGCCGCCGGGTGGCACACACCGTCGTTTCACTGTTGCGGACAAGGTATGAAGTGTGACAGGTGTCGAAATTTATAGAGTTTCAAAGTTTTTGAATGGCGGTAACCGATAGCAGCGGTTACAGACCACCGTTCTGGAGTTCAAGGGCGACCCTATGACCTTGCTATAGATGCTTGGACGAGCGCCAAGGAAGTACGCTTGACACTCCACCCCATCGCTTATGAGATGACCTATCTATTCGATGCAGTTGCCCTGTCGGTGGCCCTTAGTCGAGATCACCTGGACGAATGGTGGGCCGCCGACTAGGTAGTGGCCAAACGCAGAATGGGCTTCCTTCTGCGCATGGCTTGGTCCTTGACCAATCTTGACGTTTTCTCCAACGTTAAGTTGACGAAATTGACCTTTCGAGCGGGTATAAACATTCCACGAGAAGCGTGTACACTGCGAATGAAGCGGTGGTTGCGCCGGTAAATTTATCATCATCTGTCGACTTGGATGTCTTCTCCCTACTAACTTGCCTATGCAGTCACGAAAACTGTGCGTACAAGATCGAGGATGGAACTCATGTATCCACCGCTATATCTGTTTGCCTTGATCTACTTTGCCAAGAGTTGTCCCCGCAAAGCAACTCACATTGCAACAAAACGAGGTAGATGGACTAACGTACGGCAGTCGTTCGACGAGCATTCATCCCCATGGAGCATGGACCAACTGTAGCTATTGAATGTCGCTTGAACCGGGCAACCGCTGACAGCACATTCCAATATTGAATGTCGCTTGAACCGGGCAACCGCTGACAGCACATTCCAATAGTACAGTGCGCGCCACTTGATTGCAGACACCCTTCATTTTTCATGGAGTCTGTATTTTCAAGATGTCTACCACTTCGAGTTGCCTTTACCTCCGTAGAACTCGAACACAGATCATATATCTGTGGATTCAAACCATGAAACCCTTTCCTTCGCATCACTCCACGACATTTATCCTATTTGCTTGTGACAGATAATTGCAGCCAGAATGAAAATTTGAGTTATCAGTGAAAATACACAGGTAATATGGCTGCTAATAGTTGCATTTGTTGCCCTTAGCAGCAATAACGGCAACGCACCGCTTTGGTATTGACTTCATCAACTTGTTGAGTTACTCTTGAGGGATTTTTGCCCACTCCTCCTTGAAGGCCACAATGTGGTCTTCCTTGGTCATATATTGTTTTCCGTTTGGGTAAACCTAGCGCACCATGTATCCCCACACATTCTCAATGGGATTGAGGTCTGGGAGAGTGCCGGGTGATCGAACAACGACACGCCTTCGTCTTGAAAAACGTCATGGTAACCTTGGAGCGGTGGATCGACGCATTGTCTTGCTTAAAGACAAAATTTGGTCCATAATGTTAATGGCCAAATGGGAACAAGTGGTTGCTGACGGGTCGATGTACTTTTCTGAGTTTTGTTTTCCATACAAGATGGCCAAGTCGGCCAATCCAGCGCCGGAAAATGCACCCCACACCATCACGCCGCCTCCATTGTTAGCGCGAGTGAAGAATGAGGCAGGTTCGTTGCGAAGATCCTCCCAGTAATACTGAAAGCGGTCCATCGAGGTTGAATTTCTTCTCGTCGGACCAGATGATTTCAGTCCAACTTGGAGGATTTTCCGAGTGACCTTTCGCGTACTTCATCTGCGCTTCCTTGTGCGCGAGATTGAGGCGAGAGGTGTTCTTCCGCTTCTTGAACTTGAGAAATCCTTATGTCTTCAAGCGTCGTTGACAAATTTCAATTGAACCTTCAAGTTGCAATGATGCATGGAGGCTTCTGACGGATGTACCACATACCGCTGCAGCACAAAAACGTCTGCGGCACTCCTTGTTGACGATTTTTGTGGCTCAACGTCCCTTGTATTTTTTGCCGTAGGTGTCAGGGGCCTTTAGGTAGGCCCCTATAGTGTCCTTGGAACGACCCAAGTGGCTTGCAATTGCTCGATAGGATAGATTGTGGTTGCAAAAAGTTCGCGCTGCCACTTGCTCTTCAATTGTTAATTGTGGCGCACTTCCCATCCTATATTGACATGGAAGTGTGGCGAAGATGCAGACATAGTTGTTGATACCTTTGCGTGGACAGTTGAGAGCCGAGTTGCGAGCAAAGGCCAAATTAATAAGTGACCTACAATTATCTGTCGCACTCACGAATGCGTTTTCCCGCCAAAGCGATGCAACAAAAATTGCTCGTGAAGCGTCCAACACACCAAAATACCCGCCAATGGGAGCTGATTTTCGTCGTATTGTGCTGAATTAAGCAACTTGATTGGCGGGATTTTCTACTGAAAATTAGGGGTGTCTGCAATTAAGTGGCGCGCACTGTATGTACAGTACCGTCAAATATGCTCTGCCCGGCGTAGTGTACGTCTCGTAAATCAACAGGCAAGCCGAGCGAAAGGCACAATCGAGGATGAAAAAACTCTACCTCCGTTCCGATAGATTAAAACTTTACACTGCCCTACCGATTTCTCCACCTGACAAACCAAGATTCAATCCCGTAGAGGATTGTGGTGCCACTACTCCAGTCAGACTGTCCGAAACGAGAAAACTCCTCAAGTTGTACTTTTATTGCCCGATTTACGTGATATAAGAACAATTTTAGCAAGTCAGTTGGGAACGCCACCACAGCGATAACATTTTGTTAGAGTGGTACTCCGGAGACAAATCACGAAACTTCAACTAGTACTACGTAGTACTTCTTTGTCATGTACTAGTACATGGAATACTTGTACTAAACTTCTCTCGAGTTTCGATTGGCAGGGTTCACACTCTACGACAATTTTAACCATAAATGGAGTATGGGGTGCTCTTAGATTCCTTGTAAGCCAACCACACAGAATGCTTCGTAATACTAGTATTCAGTCGAATAAACCTCCACAATAATGAGATTCAGCCATGAACCCACAGAA